CCCTTAATGTGGATGGGTGGATGTGGGTCAGCATTCCTCCTGTAGTCCACGATGAGCTCCTTGGTCTTCTCGGTGTTAAGCAGCAATGATGGGTTTAGATTTTGTTATTGTCATTTGTATTAAGAAATATGTACTCATATATGCTTAGAAGTATATAATCATTTGTAGATTGAAAGAATGTCTCATCCTAGGATGTCTGTAACAACTCTGTGTAGCATGAAGAGGGGAGTGCGTTCACTCCTCTACAGAGTGTTCTGGCATAGATCACACCCCCCCCCTAGGAGAGGTCGTATTTTCTCTTGCTGATATATGATATAGCAAAAACACGTATATCTGTTTGAGTGTAAGAGCCTTTTGTTTAGATGGACCTGCTAGACTTCTGGCACCAGCTTTGGGGAGTCTTCACAGGGTCACATCTTGACCTCACACAAATCACATACACACACACACACACACACACAGTATTCTTTGTTCACATGTATACCTATGTAAGATGTTATATGTTAATGACCCTATGCATATTCATGTAACCACAATAAAAGGAGTGCTATGGGGAACCTGGCTGAGAGTCTGACGGTGGTCAAGTGGTGGAACGACGCTTGGCCCCAGCCAGGTCTCCCTCATGCATGAGTAAACCAGAGAACTTTGGTGACTTGTGTCTTGCTTCTTACTGTGTAGCAAATTGTCCTTAACGTTCCAGCGAATAGGTTTATGCTACAAACCTATCAAGCAGGTTGTTTGTGTCGCACCACTCAGCCAGACGATCCATCTCCTCCCTGTAGGCGGCCTCATCGTTGTCACTGATGAGGCCAATCACCGTGGTGTCATCTGCAAACTTAATGATGGTGTTGGAACCATCAGCAGGTCTGCAGTCGTGGGTGAAGAGGGAGTAGAGGAAAGGGCTGATCACACAGCCTTGTGGTACACCGGTGTTCATCGTGATTGTAGATGAGCAGTGGTTATCCAGCCGGACATGTTGGGGCCGTTGGTCAGGAAGTCCAGTAACCATTTGCAGATGAGGAAACTGATGCCCAGGTCTGTCAGTTTCCTGATGAGTTGTGAGGGGTGGATTGTATTGAATGCTGAACTGAAGTCTATAAACAGCATTCTGGCGTAGTTGTTGTTGTTGTCCAGGTGTGAGAGGACAGAGTGCAGTGCGATGGAGACTGCATCCTCTGTGCTCCTGTTCTGGCGGTATGCGAATTGGTGGGGTCCAGGGTGGGGGGGAGACAGGATTTGAAGTGTGCTAGGACCAACTGCTCTAAGCACTTAGTGATGATGGGGTGAGTGCTACTGGGCGGTAGTCATTGAGGCTAGATGGGTTGGAGTTTTTGAGTATCGGGACGATGGAGGTAGATTTGAAGCAGGCCGGTACCACAGTGTGGGCCAAGGACAGGTTGAATATGCCTGTGAGCACTCCTGCAAGCTCCCAGAACACGCTCTGAGAACACGCCCGGGGATGCCATCAGGGCCTGCAGCCTTGTGGACATTGATCCTGCTCAGCACCGCTCCTACATCGGTGGGGAGAGAGTCAGAGGTTGGTGGTCTGGCGTCACGTCTGCTTTGGTTGTGGTTGTGGGGTTCCTTCGCTCAAAACGAGCATAAAAGTTGTTGAGCTCGTTGAGGAAGGAGACATCAGAGGATGCGGGGGAGGGTTTGGTGGTCCTGTAGTCTGTAATGGTCTGGAGTCCTTGCCACATGCGTCGGGGGTTGGAGTTGGAGAAGTGTTCTTCTACCTTCTTTTTATAATGGTGTTTGGCTTTTTTGATGCCCTTCTTTAGAATAGCCCTGGCTGTACTGTAGGCATGTGCATCTCCCGACCTAAAGGCGGTGTTGCGGGCCTTCAGGAGGAGACGAACATCCCGGTTCATCCAAGGCTTCTGGTTGGGGTACATGGTGATCCGTTTCTGGGTGGTGACACTGTCTGTGGTTTTGGAGATGTAATCCAGTACAGATGAGGCGTACTGGTCCAGGTCTGTGTGGGTGAACATATTCCAGTCTGTGTTTTTAAATCTGTCCTGGAGCACTGCGTCTGTCCCCTCTGGCCACAATTTAATTGTCCTCACAGCAGGTTTCACACGTTGGATGAGTGGTGAATACCGAGGTGTGAGGAACAGGGAGAGATGGTCCGATTGTCCAATGTGGGGGAGGGGTGTGGCTTTGTAGGCTCCAGCCAGGTTGGAATACACATGGTCTAAAGTCTCCTCTGGTGTGGCAGGAGACATGTTGGTGGAATCTGGGGAGGACTGTCTTTAAGTTGGTGTGGTTGAAGTCGCCAGCAACAATAAAAGCAGCCTCGGGGTGTTTATTCTGGTATTTGTTAATGGCTGCAGAAAGTTCTTTCATGGCCAACCTAGCATTAGCGTCGGGGGTATATACACGGCAGTGAGTATGATCGAAGTGAGTTCTCTGGGGAGATAATAAGGTCTGCATTTGACCATTAAAAACTCTGCATTAGGTGAGCAGTGACTCTCAGTAGTAGTGGAGTTCATGCACCAAGCATTGTTAATATAAATGCACAAACCTCCACCTCTGGTCTAGCCGGAGTCGTCTGCTAGCCTGTCGGCTCGGTGTGTATGGCGTCCTGCTAACTCGATAGCATTGTCCGGGCAGCTGTTGTTCAACCATGTTTCGGTGAAAAACATGACATTTGAGTCCATAATCCGTCTGTTGTTAGTGATGGAGAGCCGTATCTCATCCATTTTGTTTGCCAGAGAACAGACATTGGCGAGGAAAATACTGGGTAAAGGCAACTGGTGTGGTGTTAGCTTTAGCTTAGCCCGTAGCCCTCCGCGCCTACCTCGCCTTTGTTTATGATCTCGGCGCCGTCTGCGTGCACTTCCGCCCGGCTGGGGAGAATGGGCAGCCTCCGGTGTTCTGGAGATCTCTGGGATGAGTCGGAGATCGGCGATAAAACTGTTGGAGTTATGAGTCCAGATGTCCAGAAGCTCTTGTCTGCTGTAGGTCAGCAATGCACAGCAATTCTGGATGAATAATCCAGTTAAAAGTAGATAAAAAACCGCTAAATAGCAGATTCTGGAGAGACACTGAGCCACGGGTTCTTGGAGGATGTTGCTAACTCCGGGTCTGATAACAGGCACCATATCCGCAGTAGATGTGCTCGGTGTGAGGTCTCGCAGCAAGCTGTGAAATACGGTGCATATCTCGACTTTTAAAAAAACGCTATGTGTCGCCAGGTGTTTCATCAGATTTGAGGTGTTACCTCCTTTGACAGTATCACAGTATCAGCTTAAAGAACTTGTTGCAGGCTGCTGAGTTTGCATATTTTGCTGTGAAATACAGCCAGACTTTGGACCGCTTCACCTTGGGCATTTTTAATCTGTAGCTCTGCTCTAAAAGAACGTACGTACTTGGACCCGCCTACTATCCTTGGAAAGGTAAAATGATTGGCTAGAATTCAAAGTGTATGACATCTCAGGGAAATAAAGCACCGAAATAAAGCACCGAAATAAAGCACCGAAATGTGCGCTGCTTTTCGGTCTGGTTACTACCGTTTATGTCAGAACCGGTGCCATCATTGCATCAGATACCGGTACCCATCCCTACTCATAAGTATTTTCGTCACTGAGCAGTGACAAAATTTTCTCATGATAGTCTTCTGGTTTAGCAATACTGTGAGAAGAATATGTAGGGCACCAGGTCAGTCAACAATCAAAGCTGATCAGCATCCGTCGGTCACTCCCACCTACACCCAGGGACAGAAGGTTTGGCTAGCAGCTAAGGAAATTCCACTCAGGACAGAATCCCGTAAGTTATCAGGTTGATGGACAACCAGTTTTAAGTCAACAAAGTGATCACCCCATTTGCAATCAGATTAAAATTATCGCCTTCTCTCAAGATAGATCTTGCCTCCCCTCCCCCGATGCCCAGCTCATCAGTGGACATCCAGCCTTCACAGTCCAACGCATACTCGATGTGCACCACTTTGGGACGGGCCAACAGTTCATTGTGGAGAGGTACAGACAGGAGGGGTTTCTCGGTCTTCAATTTTAGATCCCTTTTAGATTTTTTAGATGTCTTATGTTGAAGTTTTTTTCAGGGCTCATCGCGGGTCAGATGTGGATCAATTACTAGGACATGGTGATCACCAATACCCTATCTAATAAACTCAAATGTTTTCATGTAAGTGGAGAATCCTTTTTACATACTAAGGTTAATTATGGAGTTCCACAGGGTTCAGTGCTGGACGACTGTAATTCATTATTATCAGGATGTCCTAAAACCTTGCGGAAAAGCCTTCAGTTAATCCAAAATGCGGCAGCAAGAGTACACTGCAAAAACTCAAAATCTTACCAAGTATATTTGTCTTATTTCTAGTCAAAATTATCTCATTACACTTAAAATAAGACACAATCAGCTACAGGGCAACATTTCAGTAAGCTAAAGGAACTTGTTTCAAGACAGTGAATCTTGAAACTAGAGAAAAACTAGAGATTTTTCACTTGTTCCATTGGCAGATTTTTTCACTTAATACAAGATATTTTAGCTTAAAATAAGTGAAAAAATCTGCCAATGGAACAAGTGAAAAATCTCTAGTTTTTCTCTAGTTTCAAGATTCACTGTCTTGAAACAAGTTCCTTTAGCTTACTGAAATGTTGCCCTGTAGCTGATTGTGTCTTATTTTAAGTGTAATGAGATAATTTTGACTAGAAATAAGACAAATATACTTGGTAAGATTTTGAGTTTTTGCAGTGTACTGACAGGGACTAGAAAGAGAGAGCAGATTTCTCCTGTTTTGGCTTCCCTTCATTGGCTTCCTGTTAAATCCAGAATTCAAAGTCCTGCTCCTCACATACAAGATCTTAAATAATCAGTCCCCATCTTATCTTAATGACCTTGTAGTACCATATCACCCTATTAGAGCACTTCGCTCTCACACTGCAGGCCTACACCGAGAAACACAGACGATCCGACGATGAACAGAAGCCAGCACACACTATAAATACACACTAGGTAATGAGGAGATGACATGCAGGGGTGGACACAGCTGACACTAATGGACATGATGAGAAGCAGACCTACAAAGTAAAACCGGAAACACACAGACTGTTTTACAACAAAACGCAGGGACCTGAACGGAGCACATAGGGGAGACACAGGTAGGGATAATAAACACAACAACCAACCCAAAGAATTAATACAGAATCAGAATAAACACCAAACACAAGATGAAACCAAAAAGAAACACAAAACGCTGGGTCAAGGATATGTTCGTGCGTGTGCGCGCGAGGGGGGCGCGAACATTTTTCTTGTAAAACAAAGGGGGCCCAGCAAAAGTCCTGACAGGGACTAGAAAGAGAGAGCAGATTTCTCCTGTTTTGGCTTCCCTTCATTGGCTTCCTGTTAAGTCCAGAATTGAATTCAAAATCCTGCTCCTCACATACAAGGTCTTAAATAATCAGGCCCCATCTTATCTTAATGACCTTGTAGTACCATATCACCCTATTAGAGCACTTCGCTCTCGCTCTGCAGGCCTACTTGTTGTTCCTAGAGTATTTAAAAGTAGAATGGGAGGCAGAGCCTTCAGTTTTCAGGCCCCTCTTCTGTGGAACCAGCTTCCAGTTTGGATTCAGGAGACAGACACTATCTCTACTTTCAAGATTAGGCTTTAAACTTTCCTTTTTGCTAAAGAATATAGTTAGGGCTGGACCAGGTGACCCTGAATCCTCCCTTAGTTATGCTGTGTGGGGATACAGAAATTATTTTAAAGCTGCAATATAACTTTCATCATTAACATTGGATTAATAATATAACCTACAGCATTGATATTGCATTAAGAGGTTTATTAAAGTTGCCGGCCTCAGATTAACCTTTCTCTTACAGGTGCAACTATAATCATTGTATACACACATTGCATTTTGGGCTTATTAAGAAGTGTATTCTGCTAAGTCAATTGAAGGTCTCAAGCTTTGTTTGCCGCGAATGTCCAGGCGACAAAGGCTGCCGGGGATTCCCATGATGCATTGAGTTTCTCCTTTCACCTTTCTCACTCAATATGTGTTAATAAACCTCTCTGCACTCACTCACTCACTCACACTTGTTATTATCCTGTCTTTCTTCTCTCACCCCAACTGGTCGCAGCAGATGGCCCTGCCCCTCCCTGAGCCTGGTTCTGCCGGAGGTTTCTTCATGTTAAAAGGGAGTTTTTCCTTCCCACTGTTGCCAAAGTGCTGCTCATAAGGGGTCATATGATTTTGGATTTTTCTCTGTATGTATTATTGTAGGGTTTGCCTTACAATATAAAGCGCCTTGAGGTGACTGTTGTTATCATTTGGCACTATATAAATAGAACTGAATTGTTAATTGGAAATGAAGATGAAACTGAGTCTGTCTTTGGATTTCAATGAAGCCAGAAGCAACCCTCCTTCCTCTGACAATTACCCGTTACGGCCACGAGATGGCAATAATGTAAACAGGCATAAGACATGACAAATGTGTGAGGAAAGGAGACAGGGTGCTTATCTATTTTAGGGTCTATCTCACTCTGACAGCTTGGAGAAGGTGATTGTATATATATATATATATATATATAGTCAGTCATTCCTTTTAAAAAGCAGTTAAAAACGTATCTGTTCAAACTTGCTTTTGGTTGATTTTGTTTGTTTGAGGCTGTATGTCCATTTCTGCTTCTGCGAAGTACTTTGTGATTTTTACCTTGAAGGCTGCTATATACATTTTTTTTCACTAAGAATATAACACAAGCAAAAAGTTATAAAGGCAACCAAAACTATGAATAATAATAATCAATGAATATAAATTAATCATCCACAAAACCCTGGGTCACAGACCCAGCACTGTGACATTTATTTGGGATGTGAAATAGTTCACAGCCATTGTGCTGAAATTACAATTTCTTTGTAGATTCATAGAAACATAAGAAATTTACAAGCCTAAGCATTGCAGACAAGAGAGACTGGACTTCCTTTTAATGCGGCACCTTATTGAGGCAAAATGACTCAAAATTAAAAAATGATCGTTGTAAAACATGGATGTGGTAACCCATTAAAATCAGACATTACAAAATCATGTGAGACAGCTTGGACACAGTGTACACTCAGAGTGTGTTGGTAAGACTCCAGAAATGTGTTTTCCTCTGCGTGTATGTGTGTTCTGGACTGAACTAATGTTTGACTCACCGAGGATTGGAGAGATAGATGGGGTCTTCATCTTGTCTGGATGTCGACTGAACGTCTGAACAATGTCAGACTGAGACCATCAGCTTCTTACTTCCTCTTTAACAAACTTAGTATTTCGCTGGCTGAAATCTAAGTCTGCATGCTGCTGTGATGACTTCACAGTGAGGGCGGGGCATTTTTAATAGGATGCTGCTTGCAGTTTCTGTGTAGAAAGATAAAGCATTATTCAAAGAAGCTGTGATGAATGCCTATGAAACATCAGGAGAAGGCCAATTCAATTGAATTTTATTTATACAGTGCCAAATCACAACAACAGTCGCCTCAAGGCGCTTTATATTGTACGGTAGACCCTACAATAACACATACAAAGAAAAAAACCAACAATCATATGACCCCCTATGAGCAAACACTTTGGCGACAGTGGGAAGGAAAAACTCCCTTTTAACAGGAAGAAACCTCCGGCAGAACCAGGCTCAGGGAGGGGCGGGGCCATCTGCTGTGACCGGTTGGGGTGAGCGAAAGAAGACAGGATAAAGACATGCTGTGGAAGAGAGACAGAGGTTAATAACAGATATGATTCAATGCAGAGAGGTCTGTTAATACATAGTGAGTGAGAAAGGTGACTGGAAAAGAAAAACTCAATGCATCATGGGAATCCCCGGCAGCCTACGTCTATTGCAGCATAACTAAGGGAACATAACATATGTCAAATATGGTGGTGGCAGCATCATGCTCTGGGGGGCTTCTCTTCAGCGGGGACAGGGAAGCTGGTCAGAGTTGATGGAAAGACGGATGGAGCCAAATACAGGGCACTCTTGGAAGAAAACCTCTTGCAGTCTGCAAAAGACTTGAGACTGGGGCAGACGTTCACCTTCCAGCAGGACAACGACCCTAAACATAAAGCCAGGGCAACATTGGAATCGTTTAAAACAAAACATATCCATGTGTTAGAATGGCCCAGTCAAATTCCAGATCTAAATCCAATCCAGAATCTGTGGCAAGATCTGAAAACTGCTGTTCACAAACGCTGTCCATCTAATCTGACTGAGCTGGAGCTGTTTTGCAAAGAAGAATGGGCAAAGATTTCAGTCTCTAGATGTGCAAAGCTGGTAGAGACAGACCCTAAAAGACTGGCAGCTGTAATTGCAGCAAAAGGTGGTTCTACAAAGTATTGACTCAGGGGGCTGAATAATTACACACACCCCACTTTGCAGTTATTCTGTTGTCAAAAATGTTTGGAATCATGTATGATTGTCATTCCACTTCTTACGTGTACACCACTTTGTATTGGTCTTTCACGTGGAATTCCAATAAAATTTATTCATGTTTGTGGCTGTAATGTGACAAAATGTGGAAAAGTTCAAGGCGGCCAAATATTTTTGCAAGCCACTGTATCTGCTTTAGGCTACGTGTTTGAGAATTATACCACAGAGTCAGGTAATCCTGATTAGAGACCTTAGTTTTCACTGGAGCTACAGTATCCAGAGTCGTACGTAGTGAGGAGGTAAAATTATTAACAAGATGATCGACCTCTGTTGGGATAGCGTTCAGATAGCTGCTCTGCTCTGTGTTGGTACAGGGCATTGAAGATGATAACAGTGGGTGGATTATATTCTTAAAATTAGTTACAGCACTTTCAGAAAGACATCTACTGTGATAAAGTCTACTCCCCACTGTTGTGTAATCAATTATTGTAAATGTAAATGTTATCAGGAAATGATCAGACAGCAGAGCGTTTTCAGGAAACACTATTAAATGTTCAGTTTCTATGCCATATGTTAAAACAAGATAGGCTACAACACAGAGCGGACACCATCCCCACTGACACAACAGCCAGGGAAACAGAAGAGCAGCACATCAAGAAAGCCCTGAGTAAATGTGGTTATCCCAGGTGGACTTTTGTCAAAGCTGGGAAGGTGCCTAAAGAAAGCTCCAGCCGATCCAGGAGAGAAGGACAACCACTGACTAAGCAAAAACCCGTAGGGATCCCATACATGTCAGGAGTATCGTAGCAGCTGAGACGCATTTTATCTAAACACCGGCCTCTGTGGCTTTTAAACCCTAAAACACACTGCGCCAAAAATTGGTCCACCCGAAGGATCGGGTCCCCCGACACAAATAGAGTAACATAATGTACGCTGTTAATCAGAATCAGAATCAGAATCAGAATACTTTATTCATCCCGAGGGAAATTAGGTGCCAGGTGGATTGCCAGGATTTATACATCGGGGAAACCTAACAACCTCTGGTGAAGCGGATGGCACAACACAGAAGATGCTTGTCCATGCCTTCATCTCCTCTTGTTTAGACTACTGTAATGCACTCTTTTCTTGTCTGTCTAAGGTTTCCCTAAATCGCCTCCAAGCAGTCCAAAATACCGCCGCAAGGCTTTTATCCCACAGTCATAAATTTTCCCATATCATCCCTGTGTTAAACTCCTTGCACTTGCTCCTTACGTGGTTGGGTACAGATATCAGTTTAAACTCCTCAATTTTACATTCATGTCCTTACAAGGTGAGGCCCCCACTTATGTCACTGAGCTTCTTAAACCTTACTCTACAAACCGGATCCTTAGATCCACTGGTAGTAGTCTTCCAACCCCTCCATGGACCCGTTTGAAAATGAAGGGGGATAGCGCTTTTCAAACCCTGGGACCAATATTGTGGAACAGTTTATCTCCCCGGCTACCCACCATCAACTCTGTGGCTTCTTTTAAAAAACAGCTCAAAACACATCTGTTTAGACAGGCATTTAGGTAATATTCATGTGTAGTATGTTTTTTTTATTTCATATGCTATATATACCCTCTTTATACTATCAGAATCAGAATCAGAATACTTTATTAATTCCGAAGGAAATTAGGGTTACAGCAGGCAGCACGCTAATGGCGCATGCGCACTTACAAAGGAACCTTCTGACCTAACTTACACAAACAACACATTGGGAAGACATGTCAGAGAGGT